TTTAATATTAGGTGTATTTATATAATAACTTTAAAAAGTAATAGTAAAATTATACAAAATCTTAATTATCTCAGGATTCTGTAATTGGATTTTGATGATTTTAGATTTATTAGAACCATCTTATCAAGACCAATATTTTGATAATAAAATTATTCAAAATAAATTAATATATCAAAAGTTATTAGCAATTCCATAAATCAGCCCATATGTGATTCTTTTAATACATTTTTTCGTAAATGAGCTTGTTCAAATAAGGAAATAATTAAACCAATTTTGTTTTAATTTATGCAATCTTTGCCGTGGTTATTCGTATTACCTATTTTACAAAGCATTAAAATGAAACCCTGAGATAAGTATGATTAATAATATTTTTCGTGTATATAGTGCTGATCTGTTACGCAATTAATACATGTATTTTTTAAATAAATTTTTTCAGCATATGAATATGTGAAAAACTATAAATACTATGCAATAAGATTCCAAAAAAAGTTGTAGTATAAACAGAAATTAATCTACTATTTAGAATAAACAAAGGAAATGTTCAACTCTTCACGCTATTGCAAAATGCTTTGTTCAATGTTTCATTTTTCGTGAATGTACTTTTCAAATAAGGATAATTAATTTAATTCATACTATCTTCGCCATCTTGCTGTGATTATTCATATTATCTATTTTACAAAATAGAATGAAACTCCAAGTTCTGTATGAATATAGAATTTATAATATAAATGCTGATCTGTTACTCAATTGTACGTGATCTGTTTTAAAATATATAAATGATATGATGTAATTTTTGTCATTTAAAAATATTAAAAATGATTTCTCGTAAGAAATTAGTTTCTTTAATATTTTTTTGCTATCATATATTGTATTTATTGCTGAATATGCAAGAAAAATTCTCGTAAAATCGTGTACTTGCCGAAATATTCTTATTGTTATATTATTTTCTGAGTTTGTAATATTTTTTATAATCTGGTCATAAGTATATTTTGGTTTCTTTCTCCAGCTAGAACATTGTAGTTCGAACTGATTTTATCAAATTTTTATAGGATCAAACAATCATAGTATTCATATTTGTATACCAATCCTTATGAGCCAATTGTGCATGGAACTTTTGGTGTCGACCAATCTAATTGGAATATAATAGCACTATGAATAAAAGGTATTTTTGCTGAATAATGGCTAGAAGTCGTGGTCTCAGACATAAAGGTTGGCATGGGTTCGTGCTGTATTAAATTTTCGACTTAGATTGATTTGTTCACGTTTTTTTTTTTTTTTTTTTGCGTTTAGTTTATGGTAGTGAAAAGTTCGAACACCTTGTATTTTGTAAGGCTCACTTAATGTTAAATTTATGTTGCATGTGAATTTTAGTAATATAGTTCGCAACCCTAATTACAATATAAAAAATATTTGATCCCGTGATAATCTGGCACCTAAAAAATTTATAACATAGCGATAAATTGGCAAATCGTTAATTTACTAGTAAATTAACGATTTGCCAATTTATGCTATAATTAGTAATCAGAAGCCCCACTGTCATGTGCCAACACTGGTTGGTTAGGTTACACATATACAGGTTATACATATACAATAGATTAGTATATAAATTAGTTTCACGATCGACAAATCTTTGGGTCACTTTTTTCATAACAATGGCTATTACCAATGATAACAATAACAAAAAAAACAAACAACTCTCTTTTTGTCTAGATTAAATGGAGAATCTGAATTATCGATTTCCACATATACTCCAAATATACATTATAATTCTAAATGGGTAGATCAACTTAATCATTTGAAAATAAGAAAAGAACAAACTCAAGTCAACTTGGAGTGGGAAGAATTTTATATCAGAATTTGTCATATAAAAGCATTGTATAAGGAAATTTCGGTAATTGATAATGAGAAAAAAAGGAAGAAAAGGCTTAGTGATTTGATTAAACAGTCAATCCCAAACTACTTTAATCTTAAAAATCAATTATGTGAATTTTCTCGTTGGAAGAGATTTTATAAATTAATTGTTTTATTAATAGAAGATTCTACATTAAGTGCAAATAATATCTCATTAGAATTCTGTTTTCAACAATTTAGGGGTTTGGGTTTAACAGTTAATTATCTATGTGAAGTTAAGGAACAAGAATGTAAGAATTTTTTGGATTATTTTGTACTAAAATGTGTCGAAAGATACAAAAAAAATAATTAATAATCTAAAACATTATTTTTCAATACTTTTTAAGTTTTAATATCTATATCTTATTATGTAATTATGATTATGCTTATTAAGATTCATTATAAGCAAGAAAAAAATTATGCTAAGAATTTATATAATATTAAGATTATATGTCAATAAATATGATTTATTTGCATTTTACTTAGTTTATTATTATTATTTGAGCTATACATGTAGCCGAAGTTTATTATTATTATTTACTATTATTAAAAAGATATTTGAGCTATACATGTGGCCGAAACTATTTTGCTGATTTGAAACTAGTTTGAACATAAACTGAAATAATTTTTTACTAACTTACTTAAAGTCAGTTGATAGCGATACCGATTAACAACCCTCTCATGTAAATATGCAAACCGATCAACTTTTTTGGTCTTAATTCAGATCAAACCAATTAATCGGTTCACATATTTACTCTCGCAGGCTTAAGGTCACGTTATATGGCTAGATTCTTTACAAAGAAATTTTTGGGTTGTCATTTTTTAAGTTTATCATTTTTAATTAGCGCTGATTATTTACAAAGAAAAATTTTTAGCTTATCATTTTTTAATTAGTGCCTATTTATAGCTTAAAGTGTCACAACATCAAACTAGATTCTTTACAAGAAATTTCTAGTTTATCAATTTTTAATTAGTGCTTATTTACTAACAGCTTTAAGTGTCACAGCATCAAACTAGATTCTTTACAAGAAATTTCTAGCTTATCATTTTTTAATTAGTGCTTATTTACTAATGGCTTGAAGTGTTACAGCATCAAGCTAGATTCTTTACAAAGAAATTTTTAGCTTATCAATTTTTAATTAGTGCCTATTTACTTACAGCTTAAAGTGTCACAACATCAAACAAGATTCTTTACAAGAAATTTCTAGCTTATTATTTTTTAATTGGTGCCTATTTATTTACAGCTTAAAGTGTCACAATATCAAACTAGATTCTTTACAAAGAAATTTCTAGCTTATCATTTTTTAATTGGTACCTATTTACTAATGGCTTGAAGTGTCACAGCATCAAGCTAGATTCTTTACAAAGAAATTTTTAGCTTATAAATTTTTAATTGGTGCCTATTTACTTACAGCTTAAAGTATCACAACATCAAACTAGATTCTTTACAAGAAATTTCTAGCTTATCATTTTTTAATTAGTGCCTATTTACTTATGGCTTAAAGTGTCACAACATCAAACTAGATTCTTTACAGAGAAATTTCTAGCTTATTATTTTTTAATTGGTGTCTATTTACTAATGGCTTGAAGTATCACAGCATCAAGCTAGATTCTTTACAAAGAAATTTCTAGCTTATCATTTTTTAATTAGTGTATTTACTTAAGGCTTAAAGTATCACAACATCAAACTAGATTCTTTACAAAGAAATTTCTAGCTTATCATTTTTTAATTGGTGCCTATTTACTTATGGCTTAAAGTGTCACAACATCAAACTAGATTCTTTACAAAGAAATTTCTAACTTATCATTTTTTAATTGGTGCCTATTTACTAATGGTTTGAAGTGTTACAGCATCAAGCTAGATTCTTTACAAAGAAATTTTTAGCTTAACAATTTTTAATTAGTGCCTATTTACTAATAGCTTAAAGTGTCACAGCATCAAACTAGATTCTTTACAAAGAAATTTCTAGCTTATCAATTTTTAATTGGTGCCTATTTACTAATGGCTTGAAGTGTCACAACATCAAACTAGATTCTTTACAAGAAATTTCTAGATTATCATTTTTTAATTGGTGCCTATTTACTTACGGCTTAAAGTGTCACAACATCAAACTAGATTCTTTACACATATATTTACTCATACATTTTAAAATTTTTATTATTAAATTTATCTTTCATGAAACATAAGACTTTATTATTCAAGGGAAGTTAAATTTTGTTTATTTTTTTTTATTATTATTTGTTCATATATTCACTTATACACTTTTTTTACAAATAATTATAAACTTAATTAATAGAAACTGTGTCTCGGTGAAGCTGGTCCAAAAAGTGAACAAGATTCATACATAATTCTTTTACTATTTGTTTAAAGGCTGATTCGTTCATATTTCTTGTGACTCTTTGTTTGAAGAACAAATTCATCTATTCTTGCTATTTTTAGAAGTGTTTAAGGAGAACAAGATTCGTACAAATTTATTTGTTTGCATATTTCTTGTGACTCCTTGTATGAAGGAAAACCATCTAGTCTTGCTATATTCAGAAGGGCTTAAGTGATCCAAAATGAACGTTCATTTTAAAATATCATATTCACTATTCATAGGCAAACTTCATCTTAGGTATTTCTTGTGTAATTTTTTCATTAAAAATTGTCCAAGATTAAAATTTGCAGTCATAAGTCATAACTCGAATACTCAAAGGGAAGTTCTGTTAATTAGTATCCATATATTCTTCATCTTCGAAAATGAAGGCATCCTGTTTCCTAAACACAGTCTTGTACGCATCTAATAAGAAGTTTAAGTAATTAAAAATATTATCAAATTGGTAAAGAATATTTTACCTCTTTCACTTAGTTCTGCTATATATTTCTTCTTGATTCTTATCTGTACATTTTTGATTAGCAATCGTATTTTGCCAAACCTAACGATTTCGAGATCCTGATTAAGACATTGGTTTTCATCGCGAAGTCTACTGATTTCTAACAACAGACCTGAATTTCCTAATAACTAGAATTAATAATTAAGAATATTATCAAATGGTAAAGAATATACTGAAAAATCGTATCAAGTGAATTAGAGAAGTAAAAAATTTATTTGTTCAGTTAATGTATTTTATTTCATAAAATTGGATTAATTGCTTCTTTAGATTTTATGGCTATGTGCTCTATGGGCCGGTCAAGAATATGTGCTCAATGGGCCGTTCTTTTTTTTTTTATTTTACTTCTCCAGTAAATCATAAATAGATGAAACTAGAAGTTTGCGATTTATAGAAGTTTTCGACAGCGTAAAAGTAGATGGAAGTATAATTATATTTTAAATTTCATTTTTTTTTTTCTTCAAATATTTACTAATTTTTATTTCTTTAAAGTTCACAATTGAAGTAATTTTGATGTTTAAATGATTTGATCTGATGGGTCACTTTCATCTTTTATCTGAACTATTTATTTACTCTCATATGATGAAATGTAATTTGATGCTATATTTTTAATAATTATGTCTGATAAGAGTTTTTTGTTTTATATCAAATTGAAATTTTTATTTTTATTCGTACTATTATTTATTTTTTTCATTAATTTCATATTATGAATGAAAGTGAAAAATAAAGTATCTTTGTAAAAGTGAAGAAGTAAAGCTTTCGTTAACATGTGATTTGAGTCAAATGATTGACGGTCCTAAATTTCATAAACTACTTTTTTGACTTTATAAGCAAGAAAAAGCTGTTTAATTTTTGGTTCTTGAGTTTGCGATTTCTCAAGCATTAGAAGCATTAGAATGATCTTCTCATGAAATTCTAAGATTAAATGAAACATTAAAACAGAGCAGACTCTTTAATTAACTTTAGGTTCACTTTAGATTATTGTTGGGCTAAGGTTAGAAAGTGATTTATATTAGTAAAATTACCTTCCCGGCATTTTTTGTTTATACACCAAGCCGCTTTAGACGAAGGTAATTAGGCCATCAACTAAATTGACGGAATTAATTGCTTATTTTGGTGAAATGATTAGGCAAAAATTATGAACATGAATTACTATATTTTTATGTTAGTAGTGTGAAAGGAAGGAGGGAAGAATTTTTTCTTTAAGTCATAAATAAACGATCTTTGATAAATTCGATTAATTATATATATGTTTCTTAATATCCAGTTATCTTTAAGTCAACTTATTTTACATAGTATAATGAAATTATTTTTCATGATATTTTTTGATGCGCAATTATATGTTATCAAGCTACTTTATTTTATTCAATTATTTGTAAAAATCTCAAAATTTACATAGTGGTAATTAACAAATATCTAAAAAGAATAAAATTTTTGATCGTTTGGATCACTGCAATGCTCATAAAAATGGAGAAAACGATTTAAAGATGGAAAATTTTGATCACTATCATTTTCTTCAATAACTTCAACTATTTTTGGCTCAAAGACACTTAAAGCATCATCAAACGAACTGTATACTATTAATTTTAGAGAATACAGTCAAGTCATTTATATAAATATTAAAATTCACTTAGATATTTAAAATAACTAATTTTACCTATATTATCTGTGGAGTGTCCTGCACTTGAAATATTAGAACCAACTTCACTTCCTTCACAAACATCTTTAATTTCATTACATAAACCTGCTAATTGACTAATATCTGGTAATGAATTTAGGATTAGGAATTTTATAATATAAATTTTAAAGAACGCAAGTTTTTAATTTTACCTATTTCATTAGAACTAAACGCTTCCTGTAATATCGAATAAGTTCTTTGAATAACGTTATAATATCTTTCTAGATCTGATTTATTTTCTTCATATAAGTTGGTAATGCATTTTAATTTTTCTTTGAGTTTATTGTTTTCTGTTTCATATAAAATTTTATCATTTTCTAATCGTATGGCTTTGGAATTAAGTGAATCAATTTGATTTTCTAATTCTTTAAGCTTAGAGTTTTCTAATTCATGATTTTTTGTCGTGACCTCTTTTCTATACAACTGGCGTGATATGAAAGATTTATGTTCTTTAATTAATTTTTTAACTATCTTTATTATTTCATTAACGTTTTTATCGTCTAAACGAAGCTTCACATTAAGTTTTTTTTTCGTATTTTTATTATGATTTTTTCGAGGCATTTTTTTTATCAGTTTGAACCATTGTCAATTGTTACTTTAAATATGATTTATGCTTTAAACGGAATATTACCTGGTTATCGACATGAATATAAATTATTAGATTAAAGTTAATAAATAAAGTACTTTTAAACTGGTTTACAGTACCACATATATAAATAAACTTAAAATTAGTTATTGACGAGAAAAATATTCAAAAGAAAGCTTTATCAAATGTATAATATATATTTTTATTTATACATTACTATACATATTACTTTTTATATTAAGTTATATCTTTTATATCGGTAAATAATAAGTTGACACAACAACAGTGTCATGATTTAGTAGATACAAAATTACACCTGATTTGTTAAAACTATAAAATTATCGACTGACTCTTGTGGTAGTTCAAATTTTTGCTGAGCGCCCCAATTTTTAACAATATACTTAAATTTATTTTGTTTCTTTTCTAATCACATTAAAAATGTTATTTGAACCAATTGATTACTTCATTCCAGCCAACCAAGAAGAAATTTACTATAATAATTTATTTCCGCAGTCATCACAATACTCATTACCAACAAATGAATCTAACAATTCGTTACCCTCTTTAAATTTGGATTGCTGCGTAATACTAATGTAATTATATTGCATAGAATAGACTTACTTTATCTTAAGTATAAATTAAAAACCTGTTTAAGAAAAGTTAATAGTAAATGGAGAATATCAATATGCATCTAAATCCGGTTCTTATTGTAATTTCGAAAGTACGTGTAAATAATATATTATAAGTTATAATTTATAAATTAATCTAAAAAACCTGTTTCAAGATAATCAACACCCACACCTATTTATTTGTAACCCAGTTTTTGCGAAGCATTATAACTGAGTCAACATAATAAAATCATTTATTTTGTTTTTTATTTAGAGTATTGTAGAGGATCCAAAGAGTGATACAGTAGAAACATTTTTGCAAAAGCAAAAAATAATAATAGATCATAAGATACGAGTATTTTTCAATCATTTACTATAGAGTTTTTCTTAAAAAAGGAATGTAGCCAGGATCACATGATTACAGCTAACTCAATGCTAATTCTGCCAAAATCGAAGAACGGCTGACTCAATTCTGGCCAAAATTGAAATAATAAATTTAAAACTTTATAGAACCCGCATATATAGAATTATTAATTCAGTAAATCTAATTAGTTGTATAATAAACTTTTTTTTCATAATAATTTTCAAATCAAAATAATAAATTTCAAATTATTTTAATACAAATTCGATACTAATGACATTAAAAAAAGTTTATTGATTCAATAAATCTAATTAGTTTGGTTTGTATTAATTACATTAAAAAATCTAAAATATAAAACTCAAGTAAAAGACTTACTAAAATTAGATATAATAACAAACACAAATATGAGAAGATCGCATTTATATATAAAAATTAAAAGAGTGTCTCGTTTCTTTTATCTTGTCTAGTTCTTGAAGATCAACTTCTTGTAATTTGATGAGATTCTTTTCGCTTCTTCTTTTTCCAGTTTTTTGAAAGTAACCGCTCAGAATATTAGTGAGCGTGATTGTACAACCACTTTTACATAATTTATCATCATATATGATTACTCCCAAAGTTGATAACATCCCGACACGGATGTCTGACAGATTTAATCTTGTTAAAGATCAAATTGCCGATGTTGGGTATCCCGACACGGATACCTGACAGATCTGATTCGATATGAATCAAATTGCCAAAATTATGAATCAAAATTTTCCCTAAGAAACGAATGTATAAAGTGAATATCCGGAAGTATAAAAATGAAAAAATAATCATATAAACCTCCCTTAGTATAAAAGTTCATTCGAATTTATCATCATATGTTACTCCCAAGTTGATAATATCCTGACACGGATGTCTGACAGATTTAATCTTGTTAAAGATCAAATTGCCGAAGTGGGAAATCCCGACACGGATACTGACAGATCTGATTCAATATAATCAAATTGCCGAAGTTTGTTATCAAAATTTTCACTAAGAAACGAATATATAAGTGAATATCCGGAAGTATAAAAATAAAAGAAATGATAATATAAAAAAATACCCTTAGTATAATTCGATTGATAATGTAGAAAAGAATAACATCATCTTTATTAATTCTTGAAGATCAGTTTCTTGTTATTTGACAGGATTCTTTCTGCTTCTTTTCTTTTTTTGACAGTAATCGTTCAGAATATTAGTGAGCGTGATTGTACAACCACCTTTACATAATTTATCATCATATACGATTACTCCCAATGTTAATAACATCTCGTCATGGATGTCTGACAGATTTAATCTTGTTAAAGATCAAATTGCCGAAGTTTGATATCCCGACACGGATACCTGACAGATCTGATTCGATATGAATCAAATTGCTGAATTTATGAATCAAAATTTCTCTAAGAAACGAATATATAAAGTGAATATCCGGAAGTATAAAAATGAAAGAAATAATAAGAAAAAACATCCCTTAGTATAAAAGTTCGTTCGATTGATAGAAACTTCTTGTTATTTGACACTTTTCTTTTTGCCAGTTTTTGAAAATAACCGCTCAGAATATTAGTGAGAGTGATTGATTAGAATTGTACAAACACTTTTATCATCATATACGATTACTACCAAGTTGATAACATCCCGACACGGATGTCTGACAGATTTAATCTTGTTAAAGATCAAATTGCCGAAGTTGGATATCCCGACACGGATACCTGACAGATCTGATTTGATATGAATCAAATTGCCGAAGTTATGAAACAAAATTTTCCCTAAGAAACGAATGTATAAAGTGAGTATCCGGAAGTATAAAAATGAAAGAAATAATAAGAAAAACATCTCTTAGTATAAAAGTTCGTTCAATTGATTAGTGTAGAAGTAAGTAGTTGATTGATTTTGATCAACACATTTATACAACTTGGATTTCTAAAATAGTCGACTAATCCCACACCTGATGTGGTTAGTAATGTTCATAGATTATTTATTATAATCTACAGATTATTTATATTATCTGTTCAATGTATTGCATTAATATAAATAATTACTTTAATATCCATTGGGTTTATAATAATTTATAATTTATTTATGTTATCTGTTCAATGTTCGGTCAACATTATTACATTAAATGTCTAGTATTCATTGAAGTTTTTTATATATGTTCGTTTTAAATTGTAAATATCGGTAAAGTAAAAATACATAATTAATATAGGAACTTTAAATTAAATGGCTTTTATATTATTTTCTAAGGTCCCTTTATAGAAGACTTTGAAATATGATATAAATAGTCCTAAATAGTACTAAATAACCAAAAAAATACCATGGCTCCACAAAATAGAGGTAAATCAAGTGAAAATCCAAGATGCCCTAAATGCGGTTTACATTATAAAGATATACATAGGTATGTCAAAAGGATACATAATACAACATTAAGCATATTAAAACTACAAGTTAATGGAAAGAGAAATCAAAATGTTCAATATTAAGATAATCGAACTAGACAAGACAGAAGAAATGATAGATTATATAATAGGTCCTACCTTATTAAACAAATAGATGGATATTTGAGGATTCTCCGTAGTCAAAAACGCAATGCACCCAAAGAAGACGAATTAATTTTTGACGATAAAATTCAATGGTTCAACGAATTGAAAGAATCTGCTAGAACAGCGAATGAGGACGATCTTTCCTTTTTTCAATCGATTTATTCAGATTTTAATAGTATAAAAAAAAAGAGCGATGACGAAATCAAATGGTGTTTTTATTTATTCTTTGCATTTTTTTAAGTTATTATTAATTACTTATTATCTATTGCTTTATCTAGTTTACAGGAAGAACTCAAACAACTTAAAGAAGAGCTTAGAGATGTTAAAAATAAACTTAATAAACTTGAACTGCTAGAACAAGAAAGCGACGCAGGTTTAGATTTGCATTCCCAAAACTTACTGATGAAAACTGAAATTGTCCAAAAGAATACAGAAATCGATAACTTGACAAGAAAAGTCACGGATCTAAACTTGGTCAATGAAGAAAGGATTAAATTGATCAATGACTTAGAAGCTCAAGTAAATTTTTTGTATTCAATAAGAAGTATAAGAAGTGAAAATTATTGTTTAATATTTTTAATAATAGATTGCAAAATTAACGAGTGATATCGAAATATTAAGATCTAATTGTAAAATGATAGATGCTGAAAGTATTCAAAACGCAACAAAAGTAAATTTTAATAATTTTAATATTTTCTATACTTTTTAAATTATTTCTAATAAATTTTTTTATTTGGATTTTTGTAGTTGCATGATGCGGAATCTAAAATAGCTGATGAGAAAAGAAAATATAATTCTTTTGTAGCAAAGCATGAACGCGAACTTAGAAGTAGAGACGAAAGAGAAAGCGACCTTTATTCACATATTACCCTTTTAAAAAATAGGATCAAGAATTTAGAATCAATGTTAGGTATCAGTACAATATCTTACTAAGACGATTGTTTTAAATGTTGATGATTATATCAAATTAGTATATTAGTCGTTCTCATACTGTTACAGAATCTGAAAAAGAATCTGAAATAGATTTAACATCTTTCCTTTATAACCATATATGTTAATAAATATGTGTTACAGTCATTAAAAAAAGAGCACCACAAAGAATTGACATTTTTTCATTGAAAAAGCTGGATCCTATGGTGGAAAAGTTAGCAGATGCAACTATTAGTTTAACTTCTTTAGGTCTTTCGTATAATGATTTTGAAAATTATGTTAGCAATTTCTCTTCACGTGATCCTACACTGATCTTTCATTTTCATGTGATATTCGATATAAATTTGGTAGATTTTATAATAATATAAATATGTTGACTACAATTTAATGAATTGAACTTTAAATTAAAGTAGTTTTTATATTATTTTATTTTCAAAATACAAAAAAATCAATAATTCATCTCTTAGTAAATTTATGAACAGTTAGTATTTTCGGTCTTTTTTTAGAGCAAAATAAAATTTTACGATGTTAGTATTAAAAATGCTTTGCCTTTACAAAGTAAAATATCATGCACATAAATTAATTAAGTTTACATTACGCGTTAACATAATTTGTATTAGTGATACAGTTTATTTATCATAATTTCATACAATAAGAACAGGTTTTTTTGATATGGTTAATTATGGTGACTTGATTTATATACGTTAATTTTATCATATATGTAATCAGGTTTTCATTCTTGAAATCGCAATTGTTAAATATATTGATAAAGTAAACTGTATGAAAATCATGTAATTTCTATAATGATAATTGAATTGAACTTTAAATTAGAGTGGCTTTTATGTTAGTGCCAAATTTGTTTTGGAATTACAATATATTGTCTAATTAAAAAAAGATAATCTTTTTTTGGAGCCTCACAAAATTTTAGAGTAATTTTTATATTATGGACTAAAAATCAATGAATTGAAACTTTAAATTAAAATAGCTTTTTATATTAGCGTAATTCAAAATTTTGATCTGTATAATTCAAAAGAATTTTCAGTCTTTTTTTGAGTAACAAACAATTTCATGCGATTTTACTGAAACACGCGACTTTGAAGTCTGAAAAGTTTATCTGACATAAGATGTATATAAGGTATGTACTGATTAGATCCACATATAAATAAAGTACATAAATATATTGTTTTTTATATTAATAAAATTAGATTACTTTTTATATTTAGTTATATATTTTATATTGCTAAATAATATGTAAGTTGACTCGATGAGTCATGATTTTAGATACAAAAATTACCCGTGATTTGTCAAATTATCGACTGACTCGGGTGGTTCGAATAAAGTTCAAAATTTCTAATTAACAAAATGAATAAAATAACTTCACTTTTTAATCACACAAAAAACGAATAAACTTAATAGGAAACTTAATTTTGATAATTGGATTTTTTGAATTATTTTTACATATGTTACTCACTAATCATTGTGAATTGTATAATAGTATATTCAGATCATTTCTAAAAATAGGATATATTGGATATAAACCAGATTTTAAGTTGACTCAACGACTGTTTTTAAAACCGGTTTATAAGTAAAAGTTTTTTATATAACGTTTTATATTATTGACAAATTCGGCAATGTTAGCAATTTCACGTTATTATTATATAATTATTATATATAAGTTGAACTATTACATTTACAAATATATAATTTATATTAATAGAGCTCAAATTTATATTGCCCAGCCTAAATTATTCTTAATTTCGCCCAAAATTTGTAATGTTACTCTGCATTAATCGTTTTTATTATTTCAGTCCCTGCTTCCAACCCAAATTACATGTGACCATGGGTCTGTTGACGCATCGTCAAGATTTTATAATTCATGGCTGTGTACATTCTTAAGGTTTAAAAAAATTGAATTTAATAAATACAAGAAATTCATAACGCTCGTTAAAACTCTTCATGAAATCTGATTCTTAAAATAGACTAACTCTAAACATGTTTAATGAATTTATTATGATTAGGAGGCTTTGCTAACCTAACACTAAAAATTTTGGAATTATAAAAATTGACGATTCAGTAAAAAGCACCAAATAGTTTGTTAAACTCTACTTTTTAATTAAAATTTTATCAACATAATGCCATATCGTCAGAATTTCAGATCGCAATTAAGGTAAAATTTAGTTACCTGTATTAACAGTTAAACAATAAGTATAGTACGTATGCTTACTTTTTGACCTAAATTCTAGAGAAATTCGTCTTCTTGAACAACAAATACATACAATTGATTGTTATATTTATATTCTAAGAAGTCAATTCTATTGCATTTTGTTACGAAGATGCCTCCATTATCGTTATTACATCATGCTAAGACATGTACGCCAAGTCTATTTAAGATTAAGACACGAAATCTATTTTAATTTATTATTATATAGATACTATTCGATATGATTTAAAAATTATAAAATCACTTTAATCACGTGATATATAGCTTTAAACGCGATACCTTTATATATATAATGCGGATCTCAAGTCACAGTTGACTTTAAATTCAGAATTTAAATGATATTATTTACACGTGAACTAGAAATTTATTAAAACATATATTTGAACTGAATAATTTGTTTAATTAATTGTTATAAAAAAAAGCTACAAAATTAAATTGCAGAATTGTTAAATGAAATATAATTCATTAAAAATTAATTTCCACAAAATTATTTGACCATAATTATTCCAACGCCTGGGGTCACCCACTTCTGGAGTGCTCCGGAGTGGGTTATATGTTTTATTATTGACTGAAGTGCTCCATTATCAACCCTAATTTTACCTAGGGTTGGCAAAATTACCGTAATTTGGCGTAAAATGTAAACTTACAACCCTTGCAAGTAGGTACATATATATTCGGACCATAATATTATATCTAACTTTGAAATAAAATTTGCTTCATTTAAATTACAAATTTAAAGTAAACAGGACATTTTAAGTTGCATATCATAGGATCAGGGTTTAAATATTTCTACATTAGAGATTTTATTTAATGAAGCTTAAAAATTCGAGCATAATATTCAAAAGCATTAACATTTTTTATAATTTAAATCAGCGCTAGACAAATCTAATCCTTTGCAAAAGGTAGTACCTTCTATGTAATATCAAATTAAAATAGATTTGACGCTAGTATTTTAGCATGATATAATGATGGTAATGGTGACATCTTCGTGACAAAATACAATCAAATCGACTTTGTAGCATATAAATACTATCATCAATCGTACGTATTTGTTGTTCAAGAAAACGAATTTCTCTAAAAGCAATATTAGATATGTACTAAATATATTTATTTAAGTTAAATTTACCTTATTGCTTGAATTTCTTCAAAAGTCCTGATAGTCCAACGAAGAGCGGGCATTATATTATAAAGGAAGCTTTTTGTCATGATAAGATTTAAGTATGTCAAGCAACTCTTAAAAGAGTTTAAAAACTTTATAAGTTCTTTATACTTTTTTTTCGTTAAATAAGCAATTTTTTTGTGTAAGTTTAAAGAATTCATATTTATCAAAAACAAGCAACTTATAATAAGAGGCTGTGTTTGTTCTTCAAAATTTTTTTTAACGCATACTAAAGTTTCTTATATTTATAAAAATCTTGATATAAATTTATAATTTACTTTTATTAACGTAAATGCCACATACTATTATATGAATTTTTATTAATTGAATACTAAATTATTACAAATTAAAAAAAAAAACAAAATCTTATAAATTTATTTTCCACCAGTTATTATTCCAGCGAGGATAAAGTTTGGGGCATGGCTTTCCCTCCTCATGATATACAGCTCAACATCTTACCGAACAATTTGCACATTTAATTCTTTTCTTCCATTCAGGACTCATGATTTTAGGCAATTTCAACTCATAACTCGGCGCGAACCGACAATTATTCGTATTATGAGTAGTTTTTTGACACCATTTGCACCACTTATAATTTCCATATTCAACATCGTCCCAATTCCAGTCAATTATAGTACCACAAAAACAATAATATTTCTTGTCTTTTTGGCAATAATTGCACAAGTTTGTTGTGAGTGAGAGATCTATTGGTTAGGACCCCAGCCCTCTTTCACTTGGTCTAGAGAAGTACAGTTATCGTTATTATATTGTACAAATACGAAATTATTTAAATATACTCACTAGTCATTATTAAAAAATATTATTTCAGTAATTTAATAATAGCACAATACGCTTCGTTTTTCGACTTTAAAAGATTTATTTAAATTAGTTCAAATAATACAATCCTTTTCTACACGTGATATTGAATACAAAAAAAATTTTTATGTACGTATTTATACTCGATGTTATTATAACTATATAACTATAATGTAAAGTATATTTGAGGAAAATATGTAATATATTACAGTTTATTTTATTAAGTATTGTTATGAAGTATCCCATTTTTTTTAAGCATCATGTGCATTATAGATTATCGTTATTGATAAGAAAAACCATTTGAAATATATTCAAAAGAAGGCTTTTACCAAATATATAATCACTAGTACCATTATCGATAATAATTTTTATAAGTATTCGATAAAATAAACCGGTTAAAACATGAAAGAAAGATGTATTGGCATAATATATTATATTACAATTTATTTATTATAAAACAATGTATAAATACGTACGTATCTGTATAAATAATTTTAAAGTAAATATATTTGTCAAATGAATTTATACATTACAATTTATACATAGCGAAATCTAATGCTATTGCATAAAACCGGAATTAGCTTAAAATTAAAGCAGCCTTTTGTATTAGTAACATAGTAAATAAGTAACAACTAATATCACGCGTAAAAAAAAAAGAAATTATTACATTGATATCACGCGTAAACTTTTTAAATAAAAGTAAAATAAGACTTTAGAAGTAATATTGAAAAGATCAAATGTGAAATTTTCTTGACAATTAAGCATCTGCAAAAAATGGCTTCTCTATTACCTAACGAAGTCCTCTTTGAAATATTTAAAAATGCTACAACAAATTCCTTCTATACTTCAACTTACCACTTCTCCCATCTCCCCAAACAATTAACTCATTCCTTCTTCACCTAATTAAACATAGCCTTTGGAACAACTTACAA